GTCACCAACAACGCAATCTTGGAGCTCGACACCACCGGAAACCTCGTCCTCTTCGACGGTGGCGACACCGTTATCTGGGTCTCGAACACGTCCCGCGCCGGGGTGCAATCCGCCGGCATGTCGGAATCCGGCAACCTCATTCTCTACAACGACGTAAACCAACCTGTGTGGCAAAGTTTCCACCACCCATCAGACACTCTCCTCCCAAACCAACCTCTATCAGTCTCTCTTGAACTAACGACACCAAAATCACCCTTGGGAGGCAGTTACTACGCGCTCAAAATGCTTCAACAACCAACTTCTCTAAGCCTTGCTTTGACGTACAATTTGCCTGAGAGTTACAACGCCAATCCAGAATCATACGCCAACTATTCGTATTGGCAAGGACCCGACATATCGAACGTAACCGGGGACGTCGTGGCGGTTTTGAACGAAGCCGGAAGTTTCGGAATTGTGTATGGAGAATCATCGGACGGAGCAGTTTATGTGTACAAGAATGATGGTGACTATGGCGGCCTGTCTTCAGCCTCGAATCGGTCTACTCGGTTATCGGTTTTTCGACGGCTAATATTGGAGAGTAATGGCAATTTGCGCTTGTATAGATGGGACGACGACGTCAATGGATCGCGCCAATGGGTTCCGGAGTGGGCAGCAGTTTCGAAACCTTGCGACATTGCTGGGATTTGCGGAAACGGGATATGCAATTTGGACAGAAGTCAGACAAATGCATCTTGCACTTGCTTGCCGGGGACTTCTAAGGTGGGAAAAGATAGTCAGTGTTCGGAGAATTCTTCGTTGATCGGGAAATGCGATTCGAGACAGGATTATCAGAAATCACAGTTCAAGATATCGACTGTTAAGCAAACCAATTACTATTACTCTGATTTTTCTGTTATAAATAACTATAGCGATATTCGGAATGTTTCAAAATGCGGTGACGCTTGTTTATCTGATTGCGAGTGTATTGCCTCTGTTTATGGATTTGATGATGAGAAGCCTTATTGTTGGGTTTTGAGGAGCTTGGATTTTGGTGGGTACGAGGATACTGGATCTACACTGTTTGTGAAGGTTAGATCGGACGGTAGGGTGACGCCGGAAGGAGGAGGATCTGGGGATTCTGAAGAAGGTTCTGGAAATGGGAAAGAAAAGATTTTGGTTATTCCCATTGTTCTCAGCATGACTTTTCTTATTGCTCTCCTCTGTCTGTTGTTGTACTACAATGTGCATAGGAAAAGGTCCTTGAAAAGAGCCATGGAGAGTTCTTTGATCTTGTCCGGTACTCCGATCAATTTCAGTTACCGTGATTTGCAAATTCGAACATGGAATTTCTCGCAGGTTCTCGGAACCGGTAAGCATAATACTAATAACCTTTTTATTAATATATATATATA